GCCCCCTTTACTGGGTCAAAGAGCCGGCCAATCAGCCTGTTACCAACCCTTAGTAAACTTTTGGAAAAAATTGTGTTTGACCAGATACATTGCTATTTTACAGTAAACAAATTGACAACAGACTTTCATCACGCTTATAGGGAAGCTCATTCAATAAGCACAGCACTTAAACAAATTACTGATGATCGCCGGAGAGAAATTGATGATAAAAAGATTGTGGCAGCTGTTTTGTTAGACTTCAGTGCGGTTTTTGCCATTATCGATAATGGTCTGCTGCTGGAAAAACGTATGTGTTATGGCTTTACACCCCCTGCTATATTGTGGATAAAGAGTTACCTGTGTCACGTCTCCTCCCGTTGCTCCCCTCCAGCGCTCTGATTCGCCGGTCTACTGAGCTCTGAGCGCACCACCTTGGCAACACCGGAATGGAAACCCAACGCACCCTAATCACCTCCAGCGCACCTGCACCTCATCATCTCATCACCACCCCTATTTAGCCCTGGACTGTTCTGTATGATGTTATGTGTGATTGTTAAGCTTCATGTTGTTTACTCTATATTTGTTATTTCTCATTCCCATTGTTACGTAAACCTTGACCTTGTTAATTCCTGCGTCTGCGTCCTGCCTCTTCATATACTCAGTACTCGTCACAACCTGTCTACACAGAGGGTGTTCTTTAATGGAAGCCTCTCCAGTGTAATCCAGGGCAGCTGTCTAGGCCCCTTACTTTTTTCAATCTTTATTGATGACATTTGAGTAAAGCCAGTGTGTCTATGTATGCAGATGACTCAACACTTTACACATCAGCTTCTACAGCGAGTGAAATTACTGCAACAATTAACAAAGAGCTGCAGGCATTTTCAGAATGGTTGGCAAGAAATACAGTAAGTGAGTCCTAAATATTTAAAAAACTAAAAGCATTGTATTTGGGACAAATCATTCACTAAACCTTAAGTAAATATGTCACGCCCTGGCTCTGGGGACTATTAAATGTTGAGCCAGGGTGTGGATTTTCTATGTTATAGTTGTCTATGTTTTGTTCTAGATCGTTTAGATCTATGTTGGCCAGGGTGGTTCCCAATCAGAGGCAGCTGTAGCTCGTTGTCTCTGATTGGGGACCATACTTAGGCATCCTGTTGGCACCAGTTAATTTGTGGGTTCTTGTTCCGTAAAGGTTTGTTTTGTGTTAACCTCAGGACTTCACGTATCGTTTGTTTGTTGTTTTGGTTCGTGTTAAGTACTAAATAAATAATGTACGCTTACCACGCTACGCCTTGGTCCGTATCTTCAGTCAACGATCGTGACAGAAGAACCCACCTCGACTGGATCAAGCAGCGTGACGAGGAGAGAGGATGGACTTGGGAGGAGAGGAGAGAGAGTCTGGCGAGAGGGATGGAGGCCATGATCACGGGGGAGAGACAAGCCCCAAAAAATTTTAGGGGGGGGGGGCTCACGCCGTGGACGACGAGGCAGCAGGAGGCCGCGATAGAGCGGTTCAGCCAGTTAGCAGAGGAGGCCGCCAGATTAAGGGGGTCATTGGTGCAGAGGGAGCAGAAGGAGAGTGTAGAGGCACGGCGAGAGGAGCTGGTTAGGCAGCAGAAGGAGCGGAGGTTTATAAGGAAACCCAGTCCCGCTCCTCGCACCAAGCAAGTGGTGTGTGTCGCCAGTCCGGTCCGGCCTGTTCCAGCTCCCCGCACCAAGCCAGTGGTGCGCGTCGTCAGCCCAGTCCGGCCCGTTCCTGCTCCCCGCACCAGGCCAGTGGTGCGCGTCGTCAGCCCAGTCCGGCCCGTTCCTGCTCCCCGCACCAAGCCAGTGGTGCGCGTCGTCAGCCCGGTCCGGCCCATTCCTGCTCCCCGCACCAAGCCAGTGGTGCGTGTGTCCAGTCCGGCACGGCCCGTGCCTGTTCCACCGGTGTCTGGTCCGGCACCGGTCAGCTGCTCCACTCCGGAGCCAGAGCACTCCGCTCCACCGGGGTCCGGTCCAGCTCCAGTCAGCGGTGCCAGACCAGACCAGGGGCGCAACGGGGAGGTGGGGAGAAAGTGGTGGTCACGCCCGGAGCCGGATCCGCCTCCGAGGCGGAATGCCCACCCGGCCCTACCCTGTTGTGTTTGTGTGGCCAGGGTCCGCGCCTTTGTGGGGGGGGGGGGGGGGGGGTACTGTCACGCCCTGGCTCTGGGGACTATTAAATGTTGAGCCAGGGTGTGGATTTTCTATGTTATAGTTGTCTATGTTTTGTTCTAGATCGTTTAGATCTATGTTGGCCAGGGTGGTTCCCAATCAGAGGCAACTGTAGCTCGTTGTCTCTGATTGGGGACCATACTTAGGCAGCCTGTTGGCACCAGTTAATTTGTGGGTTCTTGTTCCGTAAAGGTTTGTTTTGTGTTAACCTCAGGACTTCACGTATCGTTTGTTTGTTGTTTTGGTTCGTGTTAAGTACTAAATAAATAATGTACGCTTACCACGCTGCGCCTTGGTCCGTATCTTCAGTCAACGATCGTGACAAAATATTGTAATGAATAATGTTGAAATTGAGCAAGTTGAGGTGACTAAACTGCTTTGAGTAACCCTGGATTGTAAACTGTTATGATCAAAACATGTTGATGCAACAGTAGCTAAGATGGGTAGAAGTCTGTCCATAATAAAGCGCTGCTCTGCCTTCTTAACAACACTATCAACAAGGCAGGTCCTACAGGCCCTAGTTTTGTCGCACCTGGACTACTGTCCAGTCATGTGGTCAGGTGCCACAAAGAGGGACTTAGGAAAATTACAATTGGCTCAGAACAGGACAGCACAGCTGGCCCTTAAATGTACACAGAGAGCTAACATTAATAATATGCATGTCAATCTCTCCTTGCTCAAAGTAGAGGAGAGATTGACTTCCTCGCTACTTGTTTTTGTAAAATGTATTGACATGCTGAATGCACCGAGCAGTCTGTTTAAACTACTAGCACACAGCTCGGACACCCATGCATACCCCACAAGACATGTCACCAGTCTCTTCACAATCCCAATGTCCAGATCAGACTATGGGAGGCGCACAGTACGACATAGAGCCATGACTATATGGAACTCTATTCCACATCAGGTAACTGACGCAAGCAGTAGAATCAGATTTAAACAACAGATAAAAATACACCTTATGGAACAGCGATGACTGTGAAGAGACACACACACAGGTACAGACACACACATACACATAACACATGCACTCTACACACATGTACACATGGATTTTGTATTGTAGATATGTGGTAGTAGCGTAGTGGCCTGAGGCCAAGTTTTTGATACATGTTTTAAAGATGGAATCCGCAGTAGGGGAAACAGCACCACTGTTTGCCCCATAGCCATTGTTATTGTTGACAAAGAGGATATAGTTAACAAAGCAGAAGTAAGGAGCATCTTACAATGTGTAAAAAAATCAAATTAAATTTTATGTCACATGCGCCGAATACAACAGGTGTAGACCTTACCGTGAAATGCTTACTTACAAGCCCTTAACCAACAATGCAGTTTTAAGAAAATAGAGTTAAGAAAATATTTACTAAATTAACTAAAGTAACAGTCTCCTGTACAGTACATATTCGGCTGTTCTATCGCGCGCGCAATGATGTCAAAGAGGGAGAAAAACTGTGTTTGTTGTTTGCAGTAACTTCTTTGTTGTTGTAACATCAAACAGAAGTGGTAGTTTCACTAATTAAGGATTCCAGCTTTAAAGGTAGACTCAGCGATATGAAAGTAAACAGCATTGTGGGTCAATTTCCACAACAACTAAGAGCGTTGAAGTGTGAGGCTCAACTTCTCCGCTGTTTCGGTCTCGTGGCTACCAATCTGTGAACAGCATGAAGCGAACCTGTGCTCATGCGCAGATACTGTGTGTGACTGTGTGAGAGCGAAGTCTTGCATCTCGCTCATCTCAATATCTGCGGTGCTGCTCATGGCAACCTCATTTTGCTGAGTCTACCTTTTAATATTCATATGTATTTAATGTCTATCTTGAAATGATATTGCCTTTGATAATTGTCCACCGATGACCATAATATGTTGTTAGTAGCCACTCCCTCACCAGTCATGGTTGGAATACTGTTTGTTCTGTAGTTTGTTCCCATGACAAGCCATGTTGTTTTTTTCAATCATTGCATTATTCCCGGACGAAGGCTAGACATGCTGAAAAGTTGTAAATATTTTGTTCCATTGGACATTCCACCCCAATAAAGGCATTTTAATTACAAGAAGAGTGCCTTGGTCCTTTTTGATGCCCACACTAAATAATTAAGAGGTGCTAATGAACGGAAAAGTTACACAAACTTATTTAATTAGTGTAGAACAGCCCATATCCTCAAAATTGTTCACACTTAAACTAACTACCTACTGACATAATGTTACCCGCTGCTGCTCTGAAGCCTGAATACCCTAACGGTGTTGTATAAAATGTGAAATTGATTCCTCCCCCAGTGATTCCCTAGTCACTAGTCAACCGGAGTACATTCATCTCAATGTCGTTCTACACAGGAGATAATTTGATTTTAACAAGGTGTACAGCAGCATACATCAGCCCTTAATTTGAGTAGTGCTCTATGTTACAGTAATTTGTACAGTCAGATTAGAAATAAAAAATGTATATTTGAAATAGGAGAGTAGTTTGAAAGCATTCCATGTACAAGTATTTGATCATGCTCAATTATGTGTTTGAGCCACAGTTTGTGTCCTATGATTCCATAATATCGGTCAGTTTTAAAGATCAGTATGACTTTAAGCATAGACTTAATATTATTCATATACGCTTTCCACTTTGCTCATTTTGGAAATTATATTCGGGCTATGTCTAAAGATCTCTCAACACTGAAGGAAAGTCAGTATTTTCGATGTTAATAATGTCTATGGTTCACCTGACTGCGATTTGCATCACTCATTTGCATCACTAATGGAATGCCTGTGGTTAAAATACTGAGGATCTCAAAACATACACATAGCAGGTGGAAAAATATCAATCAAACATAATGCTGTATAAATGTTATTTATTTGTACTCTCATATTGCATCTTGTATGGTACAGATAGATAGGGAAATAGGACTCAACAGTATTTCATTTTTATGTTGGTAAGTGTACCAGTTGTCATTTACACAAAAATTATAAAATAATAGCTGCATGTTTACCTAAAGGCTTTAAAAACATGCTGAAATACTTGTTTGAGGTACATTTCCAGCCCTGTCCCTCTGAGTAGCATTATGTTTTTAACAGATGGAAGTGTTTAATAGACTCAGGGTTTAGTCTGTGAGTGTATCTCACTGGTGGAAGGGAAAGGGAAGGTTGATCTCAAGCCTTCCGCCGCTAACTTTCACGAAAGCCTCATCAGAAGCCTGCTGCAGAAGACCAGTGATTGCGAGGTTGAGCTGGTTCAGCACAGACATGACCATCTCCATGATGTGTTCAATTGCGTGGTTCACCTGCTCCATGTTCAACGTATTTACCTGGTCCAGGACGGTCTTGATCACGCCGACAAAGTTACCATACAGAGGGTTGAAGTAGACAGCGAAGGCATCCAGGTAGTCAGACTTCAGAGTGTCGACAAACTCCTGGGCCTTCTCAACGATGACCTTCAGGGTCTCGCCAAGCTTCACCAGGACCATGTCAAGGCTCTCCAGATGCTTCACCAGACCCACAAGCTGGGCAAGAGCATGCTTCATGTTGGCCCTCATGTTATCTATGATTTGGGCTCCAGTCATCACATCACCAATTGGCATAGTGACCTGGATGTTGCTGATCATATCAACCAGAGCATTGAAGGAGGCCTCTGCGCTTTTTACGAGCACCTGGATGGCCTGCTCAACCATAGTGGCAATGGCTGTGGTCAGCTGCTTGAGGACCTCAGGCAGGGTGGTCATTTCCTCAGAGCCAGGGAGCTTGAACTCTGTCTCCCTAAGGAACTTAATGGCAGCATCCAGGAAGACCTGGACGGTTTTCTGGTACTGGAAAACAGTGTTCCTGAAGAGGATTGACAGCTGGCTCAGCTCGGCTGCGTGGCTGTTGGCAGCAGTGTAGGCTTCCTCAATGAGGTTGATGATGGAGCTCTTCAGCCCCTCCACGTGCCTGAAGATCTCGTACTTGTCGGCGAAGTTGGTCAGGGTGGATGTGATGGCAGGGAGTCTCTCCTTCAGGCCGAGGAGCATGTCGTGGGGGGCCTCCATGTTGTAGGCAACCTGCAGTTTTATCTTATCGGCGTCCTTGGCAGAAGCTCTGATGACCAAGATGTCAACATCATCCTCAGGGGCAGACTGTTGGACATAGGAGAAACACAACACATTTCAATTGACCTGTACAATAGGGTGACATTTATTTGACTTGTGAATAGGGACACAAGTATTGAGTATTTTAAGATGAATTAAATTAAAAGACACTCACAGCATAACGGCTGTAGAGTCTAGCGCTCAGCTGAGATGGGATCCTGCCCTGGAGTTGAAGACCCAAGAACCCAGTAGATGGAGTAGAGATGGAAGCACTGACGCCGTCTTTGCGGGCAGCATAACGGAAGTTCACATCAGTGAAGGTTGGGCTGGTGATGTCCACATTCAGGGTGTGCCGGGAGACACTAAGAAGTTGAAGAAAAACACTGTAATCAGTTGCTGTCTATTCATTCATAGTTTAACTACATGTAATACATTTGTGTAGTAGAAGGTAGGTCAAAAGATGTAGACTTTAGTTGCTCAGGCAACAGGCCTGGATTGAATAAATTGAAGGTATATTATTGTGTATTACCTTCCCCCCTCTTGACGCTTCTTCCTGAAATGCACAAATGACAAAACAAACCATATTAATACATATTCAGGTATCTTCAAATTGCGAAATGTTTGTAATGATTTGATTAACATTGTGCTAACAAGCCTAAATAATTTGTTTCAGTATGTATTATGCATTGAAATCAGCCTGTTTCAAAGTATTAGTTTACCTCATAGCCTGGGTAATCACATTCTGAATGTCCATGGTCAGGTCTGCATGGGTAAGGACAGCCTTGCCAGTCACAGCCAGGGCTTCGTTCTCAAAGCTTGCAGTGACGGTAGCTGTTGAGGCAGAAAACAGTGGTTTCAATTTCATCAAATACAATTATTTTGTATCAAATAATGACATTATAGAGGACATTTTTATAATTTACCATCCACGTCATAATCCAGGAAGTTGATGACAGAGGTAGCAGATGACTTCAGTTCGCCCTTGAAGACAGGGGCATCACCCTCCAACTCAGCTGCCAGATTTGTGGTGTACACAGGGGTGGCAATCTTGGCAGTGGCAGAGATCTTCTGCTTGGGACCTGTCAGCTCGACAATAGTCTTCTCAAAGAGGGAAATGTCACCCAAGTTGCTTGGCTGAGACATGTCAATCTCAACATCAGCAGTCAGTGATGTCAATGGTACAAAGTCAATGGTAGCCTGGGCTACATGCTTTCCCTTGGTGTTGAAGGTATTCACATTGGCCTCATTGTTGCTGGTGAATTTCAGCACTGCATACACGCGGCTCACGGATGCCTCAACAGCCAGGTTCTCGTCCACATCCATCTCCAGGATAGTTGTCTCACCGTTGCTGAGTTTGGCATTGGCAATGATCTTTGAGGTGGAGCGTAGGCCATCAGCATTCAGGTAGATGTTAGCCTCATTGTCCAGGGCTCCCAAAACAGCATTGTGCTCCAGGATTGTGCCATCAATATTGCCCTTCGTGGATGACTCCACAGAGATGTACTCAAGGGTTCCCTCCAGCTTCAGGCTGTGGTCAGCTTCTGCCCTGCCTACTGCCTTGATAAGGGGCAGGTTGAAATCACCCTTCAGCTTCAGTGTGGAGGCAGCATTTGGCTTGGTCTTGGTGTCTGCAACCAGTTGCTGGTTGGCTTCCAGGTTGAAGATGGGTAGGGCAATCTTTGCAATGGTAGCCACAGACAAAGCAGCTTCCAGGTTGTCAGTGTTTAGGCTGAAAGTACTGTCATGGTTTCCCTCAATGTGGACATTCTCCAAGGACAGGGCAGTGGCCAGCTTAAGCCCTCTTTTTGTGGTCAAACTGGTGGTGCCATCAAGCTTGGTCTTAAGAGCCTCAAAAACGGAGGCTGTGGTAGCTCCCAGGCGGAACACAAGGTCGTCCTCAGAGTAAAGTCCGGCATTGGCATTCAGATTGAAGATGGGTGACTTGAGGGAGAGTTCAGTGATCAGGTTGCCCAGAGAGGAAAACTGACTCTTCTGGTACAGGATCTTGGCATCCACATCAAGAGACTGCTCAGTGGTGGTCAAGATGTTCTTCAAGCCAGTATGCTCATACAGGTTCAGATCGCTGATGGCTGGGACGCGCATGTTAATGAAGGGCAGATCAATCTCTGGGATGCTGATGGGGTTTGTCAGGAATTCAAGATTAGCCTCACCGTTCATGGTAGCAAAGATGCCAGCCTCCTTTTCGTGGTTGTCAATTGTGAAGTTGTAGGAGGATTTGTACTGGTTGAAGCGGGCAAGAGCCACAGTGTTGATCTGTTGAGCTTCAGGCTTGATTGTGGCAGAGTAGTCATTCTGGAGATCAATCTTGGCCACCAGTGCCTCGTTGAAGCTGAGCTTGGTGTTTCCCTTGTTTTGGAAGTCAAAGATAACCTCAATAGGACGAATCACAATGGTGAGTGAGTTGGACAGGATTCCACTGAGACCTCCAACAAGCTCTGTGTCATGGTTTGCCTTCACTTCAATCTTCGTATCTCCCAAGTTAGCATTTCCAGATGCCACCAGAAGGCTGTTCTTGATGAAGGGGCCTTCTGCCTCAGAGCGGGCCTCAAATGTGATGTGACTGAGAATGATTGCATCGGCGTTCATGGTCTGCTTCATCTTCAGAAGGACAGTGTCTGTGTCAGCAGAGATTGTCAGTTTAGCAGTGCTGGGAGTGATGGTGAAGTGAAGGTCACACTTGTGTGTGCCCTCGTGAGAGTTGAACTTGATAGCACCATCATTTCCAATGGTCAGAGTGATTGTTGTGTCCTCCAGGCGGGTAACAGCCTTCTGGGTCACAGAGGCTTTGTTGGTGAAGCCGATGATTGGGATATTGATCTGGTGGTTGTAGGTGGTGTCCACAGAGGCAGATATTCCACCCTCCATAGCAAAGAAGGCATTATTGACAATGTCAGCAGTGTAGGGTGCAGTGGTTGCCTTGACTCTGGTGTTAGCTGAGGCCTGGGATGAGTATCCGTAGATGATCACTGATGCCTGGTGTTCAACTGCAAGTGCATTGTGAGTGAACTTAATGGTCTCTGCAACAATCACACGGCTCCTTTTGGGGATGGCAACACGAACATTGGAGTTCAGGTTGAAATTGAGGATCTCAACACTGGGTGATGTGGCCTGGGAGGCCAAGAAAGCAGTGAACTGAGGAGTCATCTCATTTTCAGTATTGTTCCAGAGCTCAGCAGAGCTCTTGATGCTGTAGATTGGGGTGATGACTTTGATCTCACCATAGAGCTTGCCAAAGCAAGGGAAACTGATCTCACTGGGGATGGCAGGGAGCTTGATCTCAGGGATCTGGAGAGTTGGAATCTCTAAGAGTTTCTCAGCAGCCACCTTAGGTAGGGCAGGGAAGGATAACTCTGGGAATGTGATCTCTGGGAGGGTAATCTCAGGTAGGGTTGGCAGGTAGCTCACGGTCAGGTCTCTGAAGAAAACATCCAAATTAAGCTTCTGGATCTCAAAGTTGACAATAAAATCTATGAGCTCTATAACCTTCTGCTTGATATCGTCAAAGGAAACGGTGGTGGCTGACACTGTGTGGAAACCCAGGATGGTGAACTCAGGGATATCTAGCTGTGTTGGAATTTCAAACTCCTGAATCTTTTCTAGGCTGATCTTCATGGCGGGCATTACCAGGTCTGTGAGAGGGATGGTGAATGAAGGGAAGTCCAGCTCAGCTGTCTTCAGTCCAGTAAAAACTCCCTCAATGATCTGCTTGACTTCGCTGACAATTTGTTGTTCACCAGCAAACTTCTGGATCACCTCAATCACATTGCCGAACACCTCATTTATGACAGTGATGACCTTGGTGTAGTGTTCGCTCACCTGCTGCAGGTATGAGATTATATCATTTCTAAGGTCCATATCGGTGATTCTCTGCTTCAGCCTCTCAGAAATTGCCTTAAGGTCATTAAGGATGGCATGGTCAACCATGTCCTTCACTGTTTTGATCATGTCTACAACCTTGATTTCCCTGAGATGTTCAATGAAGTTATGTGCAGATGACACAACAAAGTTGACAAACTCTCTTGAAGCCTCAAGTTTCTGTGGGATCTCAAGTGCCTTGATCAGCTCATTCACACGAGCGGTGTATTCAGCAATCATCTGGTTGGCTTCATCCACATAGGCATTGTAATCAAATGACTTCAGCTTCTGGACAAAAGAGTCAAGATATTCGTTCAGCTGTTCAATCACCTGTTTGATCTCAGTAGCTTTGAAGTAGTTGATGGATTTTTCCAGCATCTGCATTACCTTCGCTGGGATATCGATGGCCTTCAGGTTGTTAGCAAGGACCTGAATTGTTTCATAAATTTTGAACTGCTTAATTAGACCCACAACCTTCTCCAGGACTGCTTCAACCTTCTTGTCAACCTCATACTTGACAATCAGACCTCTCAGCCTGGCGTGTAAACCATTCAACTTGCCAATGATGTCAAATTCCTGGATCACTGCCTTGACAGACTCAATCATCTTGCTGATCACTTCAGTGGGAAGGTGTGCCATCAGCTGCTCAACATGAGCTTCCAAGTTGAGGGAGGAAATGTAGTTTCTCAGAACCTCAACAGTCTTTGTTCTGTCAAAGTTCTCAATGAAATGCTTCAATTCACTCACTGCATTTTCAATCTTAGCCTTGATTTCAAACTTGGCATCAATGTCATGCAGGAGTGCAATGCTGCTGTCCTTCAGTTTCTGCATGTCAATCTGCTTGATCAGCTCTTCAATTGCATCAATGACAGCTACAATCATTGTAGTTAATTCATACTCCTTGTTGATGGCATTCAGCTCCTGGTTGAGCCTCTGGATGACAGTTTCAGACAGGGTGCCACTCGCAATCATCTCCTTGGTAACATCAACAATTCCCTGAAGGCGGGATGACAGATCAATCAGCAGGTTTTCAAAAGCTGTCTTGAGGTTCACCAGAGAGGCCTCTAGGTCTTCCAGAGTAATGACATACACCTGGGTGAGGGTAATCAGGTCCTGTTTGAACTGGACAGCCTTGTCCTCGAGATTCAGTTTGGTAACAAAGTCACTCACATGCTGGGGCAGAGCCTCAAGCTTAGCCTTGATCTCTTCACTGTTAATGTAATTCTGCAGTTTCTCTGCCATGCTCACAATAGTGATCTTGATGTTTTCCAGGATTGCAGGCAAACTTTCGAGGAAGGGCAGGTTAATAATGTGACTGTCAGTGTTCTTATCATACTTCAGGAAACCAGAGATTGTGAATTCCTGGTCTTCACTAGTAGCTGTGTTCAGGAGGCCAGTGAGGAGGGTTGCAGACAGCTCCAGTCCAAGCCTTTCAGCATTGTTGTAGGCACTCACTTCCTGATTGAGGGCATGGTTGTTCAACTTTGACTTCATCCTAAGTATGGCCCTCTGCTCCTGGGGAGTCAGAAGTGTGTCCATCTTGTTGTCCAGTGTGGTCTCCAGGGAGAAACCATTTTCCAGCTGCTGGGTGATGGAGGCTCTGCATTCATGAGAGCTGGCAAAAGCCAGGGGCTGTGCTTTAAGAAGGAACTTTCCGTAGAGCTGAGCGCTTTGCTTGCCATACAGGGTCAGGTCACCATCAGCATTGAAGATGGCGTCAAGGTTGAAGTCGAAGGGAATAATACTGGCACGGATGGTGTTGTCGAAGCGGAAAGGCTGGGAGTTGAAGCGGGCATCATTGTGGATCTTTGCAGCAAGGCCAACAATTTCAAGCTCAGTGTTGTGGCTCATGTGAGCACCAAGGAGCTTTCCAGTAGTGCTGCACTTAGCATTAGCAGTCAGGTCTGCATAGTTGATCTCATAGGTATGTTTGAGCTCTTCCTCACCATAGGCCGCCTTCAGGCTTCCAGTGCAAGTCAATTTTGTAGATCTCTGCCTTTAGCTGATTCTCGTTGACTAGGTTGACTGCCAGCAGTTTCAGGTCATTGTTCACATTTACAGAGGCAGTGTAGTCCTGCAGGTCAATGGTGATGTCATGTGTATAGGAAGTGCTCTCGCTGATGATGGCCTCAGCCTTTGAGTTGAAGGCAAGGGTGGAGAGAGTGATGGTCAGTGAGTTGGCATTCTCAACCTTCATGTCATTCAATGCACTCTTGGTCTCAATGGACAGAGTAGCCTTGGAGGCATCAAGTCCACCGTTGAAGGTGTTCTCCATGGTGAAGGGGCCTTGCAGGGTGGTTGTTCCACTTGTGGCCAGGCCATCCTTGTTCATTGTCAGCGTAGCTTTATGTGCAGCTTTGTTCTCAAGCAGCTTTACAGTGGCATCACTGTTCACAGCCAGGCCATTGACATCCAGGGAGGCAGTGACAAGAGAGTATATGCGATTCTCAGAGTGGTCAGTGTTGGTCTCCATCTTGATTGTGACTGCTCCAATGCCAACAGAAGCCTCAGCCTGGTTGTGGATCTTCATGCCAAGGGCAAGGGCATTGGTGTCACATTTCAGGGACAGCTGGTTATCCTTGAAGGCAAGTTCAGCAGCATTGGTCAGGATGTCTTCGAATGCATTGGTATTAGATACAACAGACAGCTCGCCATTGGCAAAGGATGCAGCAATTGTGTTCTGGGCCTGAAGAATGGTTGAATCAATTTTCAGGGAAGAATCAATCTTTGCCTCTGGTCTGAATGGGAAGATGGCAAAAGACTGGGTGGCGAATGTGGTGCCATAGACCGGTCCTGCTTTGACTGTTCCCTCCAAGTTGCTATCACCAGAGATCTTCAGTGTTGGAGCCAGTATTGACACTTCAGTATTGAAGCCAACTTGGCCGGTGTGCTCTAGATTTACACTCAGACCAAGGGGGCTTGTTGCTTCGATTTTGCTGCTGGATTTCACATTGATCTTGTTGTCTGTAACAGTGCCGACTTCCCTTATGCTAATGCTGGCATCAATGAGCTTGTGGCTCACAGAGGTCTTCACATGGGCCTTGATGGAATCAGCAGGAGTGCTGGCAAGCAATCCAGATCCTATTTACAACACAGAAGTAACAGTTATTAATTATTGCACAACTAAACATGTTCCAGATGGTGTAATTCTCTATTAATTACAAAGGCATTATAAGACGTCTGGAGGTCGAACGCTACCTTCAATCTTGATGCACAGGAGTTCCATTGAGCAGCTGCCTGTCACATCAAACTTGGCAGAATAGCTTGGTGTCTCAGCAGCATCTTTGCCAGCAGACGCTGAGCCCTCCAAGTTGTAAAGGTTGCTCTTCACCTTTGTGGACACCTCAACTTTTCCGAAGAGGGGCACAAACACATCAAGGGTCTCTGGGATGAAAAGCTCAGGGATGGGGATCTCCATGGAGGCAATGTCCAGGCCAAGCTGGGGCAGAGCCAGGTGTGGTGTGGTCAGGGCAGCTGGGAAGTTAAGCTCCTCAGATGATTTTCCACCAAGAGGCAGGGGAATGGCGATGAAGATACGCTCATTGTTGAAGTGGTAAGCAGCTGTGGCCTCACTGTTTAAGAAAAGTATATTTAATAATGAATTATTCATGGAATCAGTTAATGTAAAAATATTCTCATGGTAGTTGATTGATGTAACTTACGCATTCAGGAACAGTTTCTCTGGCAGAATAATCTCTGGCATCCCAGGGACTCTCACGTTCTGTATGTATGGGATATCAGCAGCATATTTCTCCAGGTAGTTGTTGGTTGCCTGTAATATAAATATATATTGTAATATATTAAGTTCAGAGAGGACAAAATAGTGATCAGATAAAATTAGTTTTTTGTTTTCTTTTAGTTTTACCTCCACCGACTTGGTGAGGATGTGACGGAGCTTCATGTCGGTCTGGCCCACCTGCTGATCAAGAACATCGCTGACCATCTTCTGTATTACCTCGGAATGAGGTAGGATGTTCTGGATCTCAGAGTTCATGACAGACTTGACCTCAGCCACAATCTTCTCGTCATCTACAAAGGAAGAGAAATTCATTGTAAATTAAATTGAATGTCAATGACTTGCCCATGGATTCTTGACATGCAAAGTGCTCAGAAACATACAGTTAAAGTTGATCAAGAAGCAAAACAGTTTATCATTGTACAAAAGTTGGTCGATATTGAAAGCCTGCATACCATATTTTAGGGTGATCTTTTGCACTGAGGTGGTCTCTGGGAGCTTGATGTCACTCTCAAGCTCAAGTTCCAGTTCCAGTTCCTCACCACGCTTCAGGTTGGCTGTAACTGTGGCGTCAGCCTTGATTGAAGGGACAAGCAGCTGAACCTGCAGCATAGCATCCTTCATGGCCTCAATTCTGCAAAGAAGAAAACCATGAGTCAGTTGGAATTCGGAAGAAAGGGAACACAGAAGAAACCAAAACAGGGAAGTACTTTGTGGGGTAGCATTGTCATCTTACTTTGCGCGGCCAACCAGGGACAGCTGAGGGATGTTCTTGTTGATGAGGTCAATGGAGATGGAGTGTATTCCTTTGCCCTTGGTGTTGCCATCAACAACACCCAGTCTGAGTCCGGCCTCCAGGTCAAAGTCAGGGATCTGGATGTCGGTGGTGAGGACATTCTTCCTCCTGTTGTACTTCATGGTGGCTGTGGCCTCAGTGGGTTCAGCACCTATGTCCAGGTTAAACCAAATAAGTTACTCACCAAGGAAAAGTTTGCACAGTAGAAATGGAAGGACTGTGTTACTCTAAAAGAGGGCTTTTGTAATTTAATGCTATACCTTCTGCCTTCAGGACCATCTTTACAGTGTCAACCTTCTGACGACCCTCTTCTCCCTCCCTGAGGAGTTCGTAGCCGATGGTGGCCGTGTATTCAGTGACATCACCAGTGGGGTGGAGCTCCACAGCAAGCCTATAGAAACGTTTCATTTCCAAAAGTTATAGCTTAAGATCAATTTCTCCCTGAAAATAGGAAAACATAAATGGAGCATGTTAAAATGTATGTGCATAGGACTAGTACTTACTTGCTGTCTCCCGTGAAGGGGAAGTAAGGAGCAGTGTCGTGGGAGCTAGCATCAGAGTACTGCAGGGTTGTGCAGTACTTCATACCAGCAAAGAATGGAGTGCACTCAGACACATCAATTCTGTCCTTCACCAGAGAGGGGATGGGTTTCACTTCAGCAGAGGTCACTGCGAACAGCTTGTTGCTATAATACGTGTAGAGGAAATTAAATGTTTAGGCTCTGATAGATAAATATTGGTTTTCATCAAGTATTATCTGAATGATACTCTGACACTTACGTGATGCTGATGAGCTTGGCAGGGCCCTGAGGAGCAGGGATGGTCAGCTTGACCTGTTTGTCAGCCATGGCGATCTTAGCGCTGAGCCCACTTTCGTGGTACAGGCTGGTGTGCATCTCCAGGCCAGAGAGAAGGTACTCAGGAATGTGGGAACCAACCCGTGTCACAAACTCAATTCCAGCGGAGGGCATGAAGGACACCTCGCTCTGTGGGAAAGGGATCAGTCAAAGTATATTATATAGATATGCAATAAGACTGACCGACTTCACATGTATTAGGGTTACTACAAATAGAAAATAAATCTAAAAGTTTACCATGTCGGGTGTAATGTGCAGTCCTCCCTTGATGCCAGGGGTGAAGGTACCAGACAGGGCAATCTTCAGTGGCACACCAGTGGCAGTTGGCAGGAAGAATTCGTTATCCATGAAGATGTAATGGGCAAAGACTTCATTGTCAGCGTTGGTCATCAGTCCCTTCATCAGCTGTGGAACATGTAGACTTCAGAGTTAGGATAGTAAATTGCGTTTACGTTTTTGATCATTGATATGTCATTCTTGCCAGATGAATTAACATTAATGTCTATGTGAAGTGATATTGTTGCTTTTTTCTGTATATTTGTACATACATCAGTGGGGAACATCTTGAGTATGTTGTCAATCATCAGAGCAGCAGAGTTGGCCATCTTCTCCATCTCATTGGTCTTCAGGTATCCAAGTTCATTTCCCAGCAATCTCAGGTAAACCATAGCCTCAGGGGACTCCTGAGCCTTCAGATCCCTGACCAGTTTGTTGAGGTTGTGGCCGATTTCTCTCATGATGTTCTGGGAAGCCTACAGATTTTTTTTTTTACAAGGAAAGAGGCAGTTAGCTCATGCTACAATGATATAATTAGGATTAAAATCACACTAATTAAAACGATCAGTAAGGAAAAAGGAAGAACATAGTATGGTTTGAATACCTGTCTCTTCATTCTGTCTTTCCTCAGAGTGGGCATCATCCTCTTCATGACCTCATTGACCTGCAGGGGCATCTTGTCAGAAACGAAGTAGACGGTCTTCAGAACTGTGTCAGGGAAGAATCCGTTCTCTCCGAACAAAGCCTCAACAGTTGGCTCAAGTCCTTTGCCTTCCATGCCAACCTTATAAGTGAAGAGAACGTTTACCATTAGACTGACCGGAAAAATATGTGTATATTCTGCAAAAAAACTCCCTATATCATCCCTATAAGAAGCTTAGGGAAACAACTTTAATTGTATTTTTTACCTCCACCATGTCAACATCGTAGCCGAAGGCCTTCAGGGTCATCTCCAGCATGACTTCCTTGGGCAGATAGCTGGTGCCCTCGAAGAGCATGTTTCCTTGCACAGATCCGATCTTGTAGTTGCGGGAGAACTTGGTGGGATCCATGACATTTCCAACCTCATTGCCCTGCAGGGCATCAAGAATCTTCTGTCTCAGCCTGTAATGGAAGGAATAATTAATTACATGGTCAAACCTATGATGAGGAGAATACAACCAAATTGAATATTTCTGTTAGCTGAGGCAGTAAATACTACAGATGATATCTCTCACGTACTCCTGGGTCTCGGGTGCAGTGGATGCCAGGATATTAGTCAGGTGGGAGATGACAAAGCTCCTGGCCTGCTGGTCTTCTTCGATGGGCAGAGCGGCGGCCAGCTGAGCCAGTTCAGCAGGCTGGGGGTCCTTCATCAGCACCAGGTAGGCAGCAACGCGCTTCTGCAGGGGGCTAGCACCACTCAAAAGAACCTGCATGAGCACCTCTCTGCCCTGTAACCAGGATAATATGTATAACAGTACTGCTGTGAACGAAGAGTTGTTGGTTTCAATATATATTTTTTAAAGCTAATAGGAAAAGAGTGAGTTACCTCCTCAGGGACAGGGGTCTGTCTGAAGGCCTGAATGGCAGCCTGTTGGACTTCCAGGGAAGCGGCGGGCTCGTTTACACACTTGATCACTGCAGACTTCAGAGCAGGACTGGCGGCTCCCATGGCTGCGGCCATGTTACCAATAACCTGGGGAACAGAAAGAAGAGAACATTAATTCTGATTCAAATTGTTGTTTGTTGTGTGAGTAAAAGTGAAAAAGCTAAGGTGGAGTGATGGAACACTCACCCTCAGTGCCAGGAAGTTCTGCTCCTTGTCACCGGTGCAGTCACCCAGCTGGGCAACCGCAAACTCAGCCACAGCCTCGATCTCAGGGGTCACTTTGCCCTCGGCCTTGTAGAACCTGATGAGGAACACAATGTGAAATTCAACATAGGAAATATAAACTTACCTGAATTTCATGGTCTCAAGATTGAATTGTCTGCACCTGCTTACTTCCATTTAGAAAATGTGTTTCTTGAAAATGTCTGCTTACCTCTTGACAACATTGCTCAGGGCATACAGGATGGGCTTGCTCTGCTTGTACTGTGCCATAGCCAGCATGTCGTTGACCAGGAGGGCAGAGGGGTTGGGGACCAGTCCCATGGCGAACACAATAGCATCAATCTCAAAGGCAGAGTTGTCGAAGGTCCTGAGGATCTGCATGATGGCACTGCTGCACTCTGGGGTACCGCACTGGGCCAGAACCTGGTAGGTCAGGGGTCCGGACACCTTCAGGGCCTCGGGGACAGCAGGGCTCAGGGTCTCAGCCTTCATTCCACGGACCATGCTCACAAGCTGCTGGAAGAGGTGGGCTCTCTTCTCACCATTGGACAGAGTGGCCAGTTCCCTCAGGACGGCCAGAGCAGCATCCTTGTCCTGAACAACGCTCTTGTCCTCAGCAGCCTCCATTGGCAGACCCTTGAGGTTGGCCACATCTGCAGAAAGATATAGAGCAGTTTTGACACTGAGCGGGTGAAATCATTTTTCAATGATCTCTGACAATCATCTTCCTAATTAGAATGCAATGTAAGGGGTACTTACTGTGGTCAAAAACTCTCTCATTGTATGTGGAAACCTCCAGCAGAGTCAGGAACTGTTTTCCAACGTTGGTAACTCCATACTCTCCCCTGTGGGCAGACAAAAATATATACATCACATCTCTGATACTGCAGGCATTTCATGGAACAAAATGTTTATGAGAGACCAGTATTGTATGTTACTCACTTGTGAGAGAAAGGGACCAGGATGTGGTTCTCAGTGCAAGCACCAGAGATCATGTGCTTCTTGTCATTGTCAAACTTGTAGTTGCAGGTCTGGGAGCTTCTGATTAGCTGAGCAAGAGGATAGTGCTGTAGGAGGAGAAATAGTTATTGTAAAGTTTTTTTTGTTAAGGAGTTAAAAAGTGAATAAGGATGAATATTAGTTGTCATTTAATGTGTAGTTCAGCTACAGGAGCGGAGACAGATAATTACTTTGAAGGGATTTTGTAAAGGAGTTAAAAAGTGAATTAGGATTAATAAATCATTTAGGGTGTATTTCAGAATCTAACCAGCAACTTTTACTGTCTTTCAGTCTTACCATGCCAGAGATGAGGGCCAGGGGGCTTGTGTGGTCCCTCTGGGGGATGAAGTGGTCGCATTTGGACAAGTCCCTGTTGAGAGTGATGTCAGTAGCGATGTCCTCCATGGCGTTGACTATGTAGTTGGTCTTGCACATGCCATGGATGGTGGGCTGGGGGAGAAAGTCAATTATCCTCGTCATATTTTAATAAATATAAATACTGATTTATGTTTTCTGAAAAACTGGATGCGACAACTTGCTCTCTGCGGAGCCATAAACATAATTTTCTTGGCTAGTTTTGTACCTTTGTGTGCGAGCCAACAGTAATGCATACCCTTTTATTTATTATCACTTTATTACACAATAATTACATTTTTTATCTTGCATTCAATAAAACAAGCACCAATATGTACCATTGTCTACCAGGTAGTTTCCAATTGTATTGAATAATATGGAGGTAATAAGGAACACACTGTTAGTAATAAAGTACCCATCAGAGGAATAAAGTACCCATCAGAGTAATAAAGTACCCATTGGAGTAATAAAGGACCCATCGGAGTAATAAAATACTCAATAAGAAATTACTTGGTAATATCACTGAAACTAAACTGTAGGATAAAGTGTGTAGTTATGATTCGGGTGTTTCCTGAGAAGATCAACATACCATTTTCTTGTTGTTCTCCTCTTCCAGCAGGGGCACGGCAAGGGCAGAGACGATACCTCTCTTGATGTTCAGGATGGTCATGGACTCATCCTCCTCAGGGTACAGTTTCACATCGTACACTCCCTCAACCACAACCTTCAGAGGATGTCTGAGCAGGGAGAGAGAGGTGAGAGGCTTGTTACCAGTTGTTAACTCCAAACTACAACGTGCTTCATAGAAGAGAGGAGAATGAATTTTAGTACTGGGTGTCTTTTTAACAAATATTGGGGACAAGGGTTAGGTTAGGGCATGTGTGACAGCCTGGGGGTCTTACTTCTCCATGGCAGCAGCGAAGGCATCAGATCCGGGGGCAGGTCCGAACACAGGGTTGCCCTCTGCGTCCATATCGACAACCTCACTCAAGCTACAGCCTGTGGTACGCAGGATGTAGCTGCAAGACTGAGGAACTTCAATCTCGACCTGTAGGGGGAGACAAAGAGGTTACACTGTTTACTAATTCTGCAAACACAGGAGATGGAAAAAAAAGTCTGACAGGACAACATGAACGCATGAAAACTCGTGGACTACCTGCTCCTGAAATGGCACCGGAGGGATGGCTGCCGTTTTACGGGCTCCTAACCAACCATGCTATTTGTTTGTTTTTTCGCATTGTTTGTAACTTATTTTGTACGTAATGTTGCTGCCTCTGTCTCTTATGACCGAAAAGAGCTTCTGGACATTAGAACAGCGATTACTCACCTCAAAGTGGATGAAGATGTTTTCTTTAATGAGTCCGACGCGAAGTATATACTTCTTTCTCAAGACCAGGCCCAAATCCCTGTCATTCGTGTGAAGAAAAGACGGAGAATTCGAAGGCGAGTGTGTAAACCACCACTACCATCAGTACTATTGGCCAACGTGCAATCATAGGAAAACAATCTTGATGATCTACGATTAAGACTATCCTACCAACGGGACATAAAAAACTGTAATATCTTATGTTTCACGTGGCTGAATGACGACACGGATAATATAGAGCTGGAAAGAGCAGCTACGTCTGGTAAGACGAGGGGCGGGGTGTGTGTATTTCTGTCAATAACAGCTGGTGCGCGATGTCTAATATTAAAAAGTCTCGAGGTATTGCTCGCCTGAGGTAGAGTGCCTCATGATAAGCTGTAGACCACACTATCTACCAAGAGAGTTCTAATCTATATTATTCGTAGCCGTCTATTTACCACCACAAACCAATGCTGGCACTAAGACCACACTCAACGAGCTGTATAAGGCCATAAGCAAACAAGAAAATGCTCAACCAGAAGCAGCGCTCCTAGTGGCCGGGGACTTTAATGCAGGCAAACTTAAATCCGTTTTACCACATTTCTACCAGCATGTCACATGTGCAACCAGAGAAAATAAACTCTAGACCACCTTTACTCCACACACAGTGGCGCATACAAAGCTCTCCCTCGCCCTCCATTTGGCAAATCTGACCATAATTCTATCCTCCTGATTCCTGCTTACAAGCAAAAACTAAAGCAGGAAGTACCAGTGACTCGCTCAATACGGAAGTGGTCAGATGACGCGGATGCTACGCTACAGGACTGTTTTGCTAGCAAAGACTGGAATATGTTCCGGGATTCATCCAATGGCATTGAAGAGTATACCACCTCAATTACCGGCTTCATCAATAAGTGCATCGACAACGTCGTCCCCACAGTGACCGGACGTACATATCCCAACCAGAAGCCATGGATTACAGGCAACATCCGCACCGAGCTAAAGACTAGAGCTGCCGCTTTCAAGGAGCGGGATATCTTATAAGTGTCCGGATTAGTGTCCCGCTCCTTGAAAGCGGCAGCAAAGCGTCAATACAGGACAAAGATTGAATCCTACCACACCAGCTCTGACGCTCGTCGAATGTGGCAGGGCTTGCTAGCCTACCAGACGAGCTAAATGCCTTTTATGCTCGGTTCGAGGCAAGCAACACTGAAGCATGTATGAGAGCACCAGCTGTTCCGGACGACTGTGTGATCACGCTCTCCATAGCCGTTGTGAGCAAGACCTTTAAACAGGTCAACATTCACAAAGCCGCGGGGCCAGACAGATTACCAGGACGTGTACTCAAAACATGCGCGGACTAACTGGAAAGTGTCTTCACTGACATTTTCAACCTCTCCCTGACCGAGTCTGTAATACCTACACACAAACCAATGGACTATGGTGGTCTACATGTTTCATGTAGACCACCATAGTCCCTTTGCCCAAGAAAGCGAAGGTAACCTGCTTAAATGATTACCGCCCCGTAGCACTCACGTCGGTAGCTACGAAGTGCTTTGAAAGGCTGGTCATGGCTCACATCAACACCATCATCCCGGAAACCCTAGACCCACTCCAATTCGCATACCGCCCCAACAGATCCACAGATGACGCAATCTCAATCACACTCCACACTGCTATGGTGTTGAACGCTGAGCTGTAGTCAATGAACAGCATTCTCATATAGGTGTTCCTTTTGTCCAGGTGGGAAACACCTGGACAAAAGGAACACCTATATGAGAATGCTGTTCATTGACTACAGCTCAGCGTTCAACACCATAGCGCCCACAAAGCTCATCATTAAGCTAAGGACCCTGGGACTAAACACCTCCCTCTGTAACTGGATCCTGGGCTTCCTGAAGGCTGTCCCCCAGGTGGTAAGGGTAGGCAACAACACATCTGCCATGCTGATCCTCAACACTGGGGCCCCTCAGGGGTGCGTGCGTAGTCCCCTCCTGTACTCCCTGTTCACCTCCCACACCATCATTAAGTTTGCTGACGACAAAATAGTGGTAGGCCTGATCACCGACAACGATGAGACAGCCTATAGGGAGGAGGTCAGAGACATGGCAGTGTGGTGCCAGGATAACAACCTCTCCCTCAATGTGAGCAAGACAAAGGAGCTGATCGTGGACTACAGGAAAAGGAGGGCTGAACAGGCCCCCATTAACATCGACAGGACTGTAGTGGAGTGGGTCCAGAGTTTCAAATTCCTTGGTGTCCACATCACCCAACAAACTATCATGGTCCAAACACACCAAGACAGTCGTGAAGAGGGCATGACAACACCTTTTTCCCCTCGGGAGACTGAAAAGATTTGGCATGGGTCCCCAGATCCTCAAAAAGTTCTACAGTTGCACCATTGAGAGCATCCTGACCGGTTGCATCACCGCCTGGTATTTATGTTTTTTTTTTTTTGTCATTTAGCAGACGCTCTTATCCAGAGCAATTAGGGTTTAGTGCCTTGCTCAAGGGCACACCGACAGATTATTCACCTAGTTGGCTCAGGGATTAGAACCAGCGACCTTTCAGTTACTGGCACAACGCTCTTAACCATTACATTTACATTTTAGTCATTTAGCAGACGCTCTTATCCAGAGCGACTTACAGGAGCAATTAGGGTTTAGTGCCTTGCTCAAGGGCACACCGACAGATTATTCACCTAGTTGGCTCAGGGATTAGAACCAGCGACCTTTCAGTTACTGGCACAACGCTCTTAACCACTAAACTATCTGCCGCCCGATGGTATGGTATGGCAACTGCTCGGCATCTGATAGAGGGTAGTGCGTATGGCCCAGTACCTCACTGGGGCCAAGCTTCCTGCCATCCAGGACCTATATACTATACGTCAGAGGAAGGCCCAACAAATTGTCAAAGACTCCAGCCACCCAAGTTATAGACCTTTTATTTTATTTTTTACTTTAGTTTATTTAGTAAATATTTTCTTAACTCTATTTCTTGAACTGCATTGTTGATTAAGGGCTTGTAAGTAAGCATTTCGGCGCATGTGAGAATAAAAATGTGATTTGATTTGACTACCCTATATGATTAGAATGTGCTAGCTTGCATCCACATTTGCTAGAATTTGTTGTCGTTGTCTCATTGAAAACAATGAAATTCCGTTTTTTCATGAGTCACACTTATGTACGCAGCATAACTGTGATGTTACGGTAATATTGATGGATTTACCTTGCAAGAGCCCTTTGGTCCGTTCCTGAGGTTGGAAGCTCCATTCACGGCATTCAGGGACTCGGCTTCATATTGGTATTCATATTTGTGAAGGCTCTTATACCTTTTTGCCACTAGGGTGGAGGACAGAAATATATTGCAAAGTTAACACAGATGGTTAATTATATTCCAAATAAACAAATATACTACAGCTTAACACATAGAATTGGACTGTTATTGATCTCGGTAGTAATTGTTGGGTGCGCCTCCGATGGCAATAAATAGCCTGCTTTCTGTTAGAGCTAAAACAAAGCCTTTGTGATTTTTTTACTTACGTAAGCATGTTGGATTTTCTTCTTCAGCATTGTCTTGGGCATCTGTAAGGGAAAGAAGCATAAGTACGTTTCTTTTGAAATACAATGTATTTGAACATGTGACTAGTTACTGTCTTGCTTATTAGTCTATGAAAAATGCTAAACTAGATATTGGCCTGTGTACATTCAAATCATTGTAAAGGCAGACAATTCCAAGGTGCTACACCAAACCTTTAACCTTATATCTGTAAAAAATGTTAAATACATCTTAAGTAATTGCTCCTGTAAGTCGCTCTGGATAAGAGCGTCTGCTAAAATTACTAAAATGTCAATGTTAAGTGTGTGGTTTAAAATGTTGGGATTGGGAAGAGGGGCGGAAGATGAGGAAAGTGGGAAAGGGATAAATTATATAGGGCAGGGGGCGGCAACAGCGAGGGATAACTTTTGGCCCCCCAAAGTTTTTTGTTACATTTTTATTTATTTTTTTGTCATAAAATACTGTAAAATCAACAGGAATTCAGCTAAAAATTAGTTTAATTTAGGAAATCTGTTCCCAAGTATTCCCACGAATAAAGAAAGAGACATATGTGATCGTTTCTCAATGTAATCAAAGTATAAAATGTATTGTTATTTTCAAATACAATGTCTTTTTGGCCTTAGTTCTGGTCAATTTGCAGTGTACAAATTATTATAATTGTGTTTCGGCCCCCTGACCAGCTGCTCTGACAAAAATCGGCCCGCGGCTGAATATAGTTGTCTGCCCCTGATATAGGGTAATGTAAGATGCTTATACTTTGCGATGTGATATATTTACATTTCAATAAATACACAAAATGTAACACTTTATACAAAAATTGGTTTATTTGGCATCTGTTGAAAACTATAAACCTCTCCAAATTAAAACATATGATAAGTGTTACAAAAAACGAGTTCTATAGACAGTTAATCAACCACGTTTTCCAGAAGGAGGGAAAGGTCAGAAAGGTACTTACAGGCCATGGCAAGGGTGCTCAGAAGTAGCAAAAGGCAGAGCTTTGCGTCCCCCATGATGGGTTCGTTGAAGCTCTTTCCTTAAATTTTGAGAATACTCAGTCGAGACTGATTCCTTAACGCCAGCACAAGCCTTTTATACCCCCAGAGAAGCCCAATGGGAGGGGTTGGTGGGAGACCCAATGGGAGGGGTTGGTGGGAGACCCAATGGGAGGGGTTGGTGGGAGTCACATACAGTGCTGCTGTCCCTGCTCCAAAGTCCATCCCACCCGTCCCTTTGGGGGGACAAAGGTGAGTGGCTGTTCATGGATTCAATAGTTGGATTGCAGAACCTGTCAGTTTTGTGCAGACCAGATTTTTTTTTTCTCTCTCTCACTTCACAAAATGGGGTTCCAAGCATCTGTAAAAGTTATCTATTAGTTATATAGATTTTGTTAATCATATAGATTCAAGCAGATACAATGATACATTGACAATACATTTTTTTTGTTCACCACCCTACACACACACACAACTTATTTCCACAACATAATGCCTTTTTTTGTGTTCAATATTTTGGTGTTCAGGGATTTTTTATATAGATATTTTTATTTGTTTATATATATTAAAAAACATATATTTATATTTAATAGAAACAAGCCGTGCAATCTAAATTCTCTCTTTCTAAATATACATTATTTATGAATATTTATGCATTATAATTTCTTAATTTGATTCATGCAATATATCTGTACACATTTCTAACACAAAATATACGTAATATATGTATTTTACTTACATACATACAGTGGTAGTAAAGATTCCTTGCTGCAACAAAGTTATTGTATCCCATATCAAAGGCAGGCTGACATCTCCTGTATGCTCCCATTCATTAATCAACAATGAGCCTTGTGTATCATTATGAAGTTCATGTGAAGCCGCAAATCATCAAAATGAATTGGTCTTTGATTGGCTTCAGTTCCATGACACAGGCCAAGATTTGGTATCTTTGCCAAACTCTGAACTAGGTGAGACAATGAACCCCAGACGATACAGTTCATGCAACGTTTGTTTCCCCAATGTCATTACTGGCTGGAGAGAGAACACATACAGTAGCAAAAACAACAAATAACTAAACTGCTTAACATCTGCAATGCTTTTAATTTTCTCCTGTTTGGTACGTTTGTCATTTATATTTTGATGAAATGAATGACTCTACATTTCATCAATTAAAATCGGTTAAAGGACATGTTTGATAAAGACCTACTGGTAAGTTTACCAGTCCATAAAATCATACTTAACAAGGATGTTGAGAATGGGTAAAGGTGTATAACTAATTGACTCAAGGAGAGGACCAAAAGATGAAGCATATTAGGACAATATCTCAGAGGGTTTTGTATCAGAGGTTTTTGTACCTCTCTGATTCATAGGGGTTGGGTTAAATCCCCTGTAGCTCAGTTGGTAGAGCATGGTGCTTGCAACGCCAGGGTTGTGGGTTCGTTTCCCACGGGGGGCCAGTATGAAAAATATATGCACTCACTAACTGTAAGTTGCTCTGGATAAGAGCGTCTGCTAAATGACTCAAATGTTAATGTGGAAGACACATTTTGGTTGAATGCATTCAGTTGTACAACAGACTAGGTATCCCCCTTTCCCTTTCCCTATCAAATTCAGCCCTACAAAACTCTAGCATATCTTGTTGTTTTGTATCTCATTTCTGTATGCTACAAGTCCAGATGGAAGCAATATTCTAATTGAACATGTATACCCAACCAATACCCTAATTGGAGAGAACGGGCTCTTGTTAATGGCTGGAGTGGAATTACATTTACATTTTAGTCATTTAGCAGACGCTCTTATCCAGAGCGACTTACAGTTAGTGAGTGCATACATTATTCTTTTTTATATATAAAACAAAAAATTACTGGCCCCCTGTGGGAATCGAACCCACAACCCTGGCATTGCAAACATGCTCAACCAACTGAGCTACATCCCTGCCAGCCATTCCCTCCCCTATCCTGGGCCAATTGTGCGCCGCCCCATGGGTCTCGATGGATTCGAACCAGGATCTCTAGTGGCACAGCTAGCACTGCAATACAGTGCCTTAGACCACTGCGCCACTCGGGAGACTCCTGGAATCAGTGGAATGATATCAAATACATAAAACAACATGGTTTCCATGTGCTTGATGCCATTCCATATACTCCATTCCAGCCATTATTATGAGCCTTCCTTCCCTCAGCAGCCTCCACGGATTGCTACATTGCTACATTGCTGACTGATAGTCAACCTGCGACTCATTTAACTAGAGCCCAGTTGTTCTCGACCAAGGTACAGGGAGGGTAAGGTAAGTTGCTCTGGATAAGAGCGTCTGCTAAATGACTAAAATGTAAATGAAAAAATGGATCAATGCATGCTCACTGGGTACGGTCATTGATCTTTGAGTGCCCGATGGAGAGATGGAGAGAGAACTTTATAATCAAGGGTCAAAGGTCGAGATAGTTATGCTGATGCACGTATTTGCAACGAATCTCCAAATGGACCCTTGACTACAAAGGGTCAAAAGAACACCAGAGGTAAGAATCTACAGTATGATGACATTAAGTGCCTTTTGTTTGAATCCTCAAATGGAAAGAGAGGATTGATAACACACAACGTACGTAAATCCCATCATGCCATAGAGTTCCTATTTGTTCATGAATTGCAACATGTGTCCAGTCTCTGCCAATGGTTTTATTTGCAGGTTATATTTAGATGGAGGGATGAACAAACTCACTATCTTTTCAGCTCTATTGTGCATACAGTCTGTTCCCCAACACATGCCAAGAGGGAACACATACATTGACAAAAATATAAACGCAACATGCAACAATTTCAAAGATTTTATAGTTCACATACGGAAATCAGTCAATTGAAATGAATTCATTAGGCCCTAAAACATGACTGGGAATTGGTCACAGATAACTTTTTTTTAAAGGTAGGGGCGTGGATCAGAAAGTCAGTCAGTATCTGGTTTGACCACCATTTGCCTCATGCAGCGCGACACATTTCCTTCGCATAGAGTTCATCAGGCTGTTGATTGTGGCCTGTGGAATGTTTTCCCAATCCTCTTCAATGGCTGTGCGAAGTTGCTGGATATTGACGGGAACTGGAACACACTGCCGTACACGTTGGGATCCAGAGCATCCCAAACATGCTCAATGGGTGACATGTCTGGTGAGTATGCAGGCCATGGAAGAACTGGGACATTTTCAGCTGGAATTGTGTACAGATCCTTGTGACATGGGGCCATGCATTATCATGCTGAAACATTAGGTGATAGTGGCGGATGAATGGCACGACAATGGGCCTCAGGATCTTGTCACGGTATCTCTGTGCAGCATTCAAATTACCATTGATAAAATGCAATTGTGTTCAATGTCTGTAGCTTATGCCTGCCCATACCATAACCCCACTGCCACCATGGGGCACTCTGTTCACAACGTTGACATCAGCAAACCGCTCGCCAACACAACGCCATACACGCTGTCTGCCATCTGCCTGGTGCAGTTGAAAATGGGATTCATCCGTGAAGAGCACACTTCTCCAACATGCCAGTGGCCATCGAAGGTGAGCATTTGCCCACTGAAGTTGGTTACAACACCGAACTGCAGTCAGGTCAAGACCCTGGTGAGGACAACGAGCACGCAGATGAGCTTCCCTAAGACAGTTTTTGACAGTTTGTGCAGAAATTCTTCACAGTTTCATCAGCTGTCCGGGTGGCTGTTCTCAGACGATCCCACAGGTGAAGAAGCCGGATGTGGAGGTCCTGGGCATGCGTGGTTACTCATGGTCTGCAGTTGTGAGGCCGGTTGGACGTACTGCCAAATTCTCTAAAACGACGTTGGAGGCAGCTTATGGTAGAGAATTGAACATTCAATTCTCTGGCAACAGCTCTGGTGGACATTCCTGCAGTCAGCATGTCAATTGCACGCGCCCTCAAAACTTCAGACATCTGTGGCATTGTGTTGTGTGACAAAACTGCACATTTTAGAGTGCCCTTTTATTGTCCCCAGCACAAGGTGCACCTGTGTAATGATCATGCTGTTTAATCAGCTTCTTGATATGCCACACCTGTCAGGTGGATGGAGCATTTTGGCAAAGGAGAAATGCTCACTAACAGGGATGTAAACAAATTTGTGCCCAACATTTGAGAGAAATAAGCTTTTTGTGCGTATGGAAAATTTCTGGGATCTTTTATTTCAGCTCATGAAACATGGGACCAACACTTTACATGTTGTGTTTATATTTTTGTTCAGTGTATATAGGATTCAAGGCATTAATGCAAAATAAGCAAAGTAACAGCAACAGCAGCAGGCCAAAAAAAGTATCTGATGTTTCATGTCCACGTGCTTGATTGTTGCTTGTTGTGATACAGGCATGTGTCAGTGTCATTTATTAACTAGGTGGTCAATTGGTAATTACATTTATTTTGAGAGCTTTGGCGAACTGCCAGCTCAGGAAGACTCTTACCAGTACTGGGGAAAATTACTGAATGTCGCTAGAGAGACAGCTACCACTGAACTGATACAACCCACTGATACCACTGAGCTGATACAACCCACTGATACCACTGAGCTGATACAACCCACTGATACCACTGAGCTGATACAACCCACTGATACCACTGAACTGATACAACCCACTGATACCACTGAGCTGATACAACCCACTGATACCACTGAACTGATACAACCCACTGATACCACTGAACTGATACAACCCACTGATACCACTGAACTGATACAACCCACTGATACCACTGAACTGATACAACCCACTGATACCACTGAACTGATACAACCCACTGATACCACTGAACTGATACAACCCACTGATACCACTGAACTGATACAACCCACTGATACCACTGAACTGATACAACCCACCGATACCAACATTGATTCAACCAGTTTTTGCCCAGTCAGAATATTCATATTAGGGATGTCAATGGTTAACTGTTAATGGTAAGCTTATAGATTTTCATTATTTTTGGACGCTTGCTACCATAATTGAATCAGAAAACAAAGAAAATGAGGTTTAGTTGTAAACTATATGAAACAGTGTCCAAATACAGCGGCAG